GCCTCCGGCGGCGAGTCTACGGTCTCCGCCAGGCGCCCCGTGAGTGGCACGACACACTGAGGACTACACTTGCGGCTCTTGGGTTTGCTCCTTCTACTGCCGACCCGTCACTGTTTCTACGCACCGACACCTCCTTTCCGCCGTTCTACATCCTCGTGTACGTCGACGACTTGGTCTTTGCCACTGCTGACACAGCTGGACTCGCCCACGTGAAGTCGAAGCTGCAGAAGAGACACACGTGCACAGACTGTCAAGAATAATATATATATTTCTATATATTGTTTTTGTAACTGCGTGTAGTGTAGACTACTGTAGTTATATAATGTTCTGTTTTGGTGGTGCACCTTTCTTCTTGCCTATTTGTACTCCTCGCTCTATAGTGAAACCTCTCTTTTGTTCAAACTTTCTCGACCTTTCCTAAACTCACTCGAGCTCGATCTCTCCTACCTCTCTAGCCATGGCTCCTAAGCCTTGCTAGTTATTTTCACATGTTATCAGAGTGGTTCCTATCCTAGGACCTATATATATATATATATTTTTTCCCATGGGCCCACCGCATCACGCTCCTGCCATGGCGCTCGTCGCGGCCCCAGCTGTGCCCGTTCAAACGCTCGTCGCGAATGTTGCGAAGTTGAGCGTGGCGCCCTTGGCGCTGTTTATTTCTGACGGCCCCATTCGTCGGCCCCGTCGCCTGCCCATCGCGCCCTACTGCAGCCTCGTCACGCCCTGTCGCGGCCCCGAGCGTCTGCATCGACGGTCGCTTTGGGGGGAGACGGCGGGTCTGGCGGCCGAGCTGCTTCAGTCGCCAAATGCGCCCCCTGCCCCGCAAGCGACGGCGAGCTGTGCGAAGGCCCTCGTCACGGCACCTGTTGTACCCCCCCTGTTACTCCCCCCCCTTACCCGCGATCTCGCCAACACCATCACGCCCACTGCCATGTCTTCCGCTGTGGACGACGGTGTGGGGGGGGGGGGGGGGGAGGGGGAGGCGCGAGGGTGGTTGACGCCGCTCTGTTCGCTGCTGCACTACACCGCTGCGCCGCCATGCGCCGTCTCTGCTCTCTCCCTGCTGCACATGCAGCAGTGTGGGGGGGAGGTTTTGGGGTGGCGGGTGTGAGCAAGAAGCTGCCGCCCCTCCTCTCTCTCTCACTGCCGCACGTGCCGCTGTGGGGGGGGGAGTGAGGGGACGACGGAAGTCAGCCGGTCATCTGCTGCTGACGCCCGCTGCTGCCGTGGCACCTCCAGCTGCCGCCCCTGCTACCACCTACCTTACCTTTTGTTGTCCTTGTTTCTGCTATCTACTGCTGGGGCCTGCAGGTGCTGCCGTCGAGCCGCTGCTGTCCTGCTGCATGTTGCAGCCACAGAGCCTGCTCCTCAGGCGCCCTGCCGCCCCAACACCTGCTACTTTTTTGTTTTACCTTGGTAAAGGGGTTGGTACAGCTGTATCTGCCATCACTGCACCGGTTGCCACTGCACTTGCCTGTTGCTATGATTTCCGCTGCGGCCTGTCTGGTGTACCCCATTATGGGGGCGTTGACTGCATATTCTTCCCTACAGGCACTTATGGGGGCGTGTCAAGAATAATATATATATTTCTATATATTGTTTTTGTAACTGCCTATAGTGTAGACTACTGTAGTTATATAATGTTCTGTTTTGGTGGTGCACCTTTCTTCTTGCCTATTTGTACTCCTCGCTCTATAGTGAAACCTCTCTTTCGTTCAAACTTTCTCGACCTTTCCTAAACTCACTCGAGCTCGATCTCTCCTACCTCTCTAGCCATGGCTCCTAAGCCTTGCTAGTTATTTTCACACAGACCTGGATGAACTACGCAGCTACCTTGGCTTGAAGATCACCCGGGACAGAGCACGCCGCACCATTACCCTGACTCAGCCACACATGGTGCAGCAGGTCCTTCAGCGCTTTGGCTTCACGTACTCCTCGCCTCAGGCCACTCCTCTGCCTACTCGCCACTCACTCTCAGCTCTGCCTTCAGATGAGTCCGTAGAGTCGAGTGGCTCGTACCCAGAGCTTGTTGGCTGCCTCATGTACCTGATGACCTGCACTCGACCTGACCTTGCATACCCTCTTAGCATCTTGGCACGCTATGTTGCTCCTGGGAGACACCGACCAGAGCACATGGCTGCAGCGAAGAGGGTGTTGCGCTACTTGTGCAGTACGTCAGGCATGGGGCTAGTGCTTGGAGGGCGTCATTCAGTGGTCCTCACCGGTCACGCAGACGCTTCTTGGGCTGACGACCAAGCTACGCAGCGGTCGTCACAGGGTTACACCTTCAGCCTTGGTTCCAGCTCTGTTTCGTGGCGGTCCACCCGTTCGTCTTCTGTTCTCGGCTCCAGCTGTGAGGCTGAGATCTACGCGGGGGCCATGGCTGCACAGGAGCTACGCTGGCTCACCTACCTGCTGACCGACCTGGGAGAGCCGCCTCGCTCTGCTCCAGTTCTGTACGTAGACAACAAGGCCATGCTAGCCTTGTGTCGGGAGCACAGACTGGAGCACGAAACAAAGCACATTGCTCTTTGTTACTTCCTTGCTCGTGAGCTGCAGCAGCGTGGTCAGCTGCGCCTTGCTTACGTGGCCTATGAGGCCAACACTGCTGATATCTTTACTAAGGCACTTCCGCCTTGTGATCATCAGCGCTGCTGTACGATGCTAGGTCTTGTGCCTACTTGGCCTTACTTGCTCTCTTCTTGACCTTGCTTGTACTGTGATCCATCTATACCTGCACTTGCTTATTTACCTTTATATATGATCTTGCATGTTAACTGGCCTTGTGGCCTTGAACTTGTGCTCGGAATAAGTGGTGACGTTGTGATCCACCCTGAGCTTGCTTTGCTTTACTTGACTGGTCTTGTGACCTCTTGTTCTCCCCCACTTTGCCTATGGGGGTGTGTCAAACTTATATGCTATAGTCTATGTAGGCTGTAGTGGGGTAGACAATATGGGGTACAACACTTTTAGGTTTTCCTACATGTACCCACCTGTTTGCCAGTGCATTCATTCATCGTTCTTTCAGAGATGACACTTTCCGAGAGCATCTGATTGGTCGAAACTTGATGTTTTGTGATTGGTCAAATTTTGCGCACATTGTGAATTTCAGAACCAATTCATTTCGATCGACTAGAATCGTTCTGCTGAACGATGCCTTTTTTCGAGCTTAATCCTGTCGACCAGCGTTTCGTCGAAACGCCGATTTATGCAATTTTGTCGACTCGCGAGACTCGATTTTGACACCGATTTTCTCCCGTCCACAAGCAGTTTCATAGAGCAGAAACATCTTTTCAACTTTGACGAATTAATCTCATCAAAATCAACCCGTTGCACAGAGATTAGAGTCTCTGAGGCTGTTGCACACAGATAAAGGTCCCCAAAGTCGCTGATTACCACGAAACGAACACCGTTGTGCTCCGAAAAACATGGGCGACTTCGCCCAAGCAAGGGCGGGGCCTTTGTCTTCGACAGGTATAAGTGCCAATTTCGAAATATTCTTGTTGTATATTAGCTATCCTAATTGCTTGAAGGGATCAATCACTGACACCATGCACGTTCGTTGTTGTATCGATTGGGATAAACAATTGAGTAAAATCTTCCATTTGTAAGGATTATATTGGTGCTCAGTGGCTACTCGCTTCACACTTTAGTACAATCGCAAACGAGGAAATCGCAAAGCATACGGCAACCAGGCTGGCATTTAACAGCCTTGAGAAATGTGTATAGTTGCTTGACTCCATTCATACGCTTTGCGAAACTCTTGCGCTCCGCAAGCACGTGGATCAATCGTCATTGTTACGCTCGGTTCGTCGCGCATTTGAGTCGCGTTATGCCGCGACTGTTCACCGCAAATCGACAATCCGTAGTATTGTCTGAGTGGATATGATTTTCAGTAGATTTTTCTACTATAGCTTGGTTACATGCCGGTCGATCAGTGAACCATGTACGCCCGTGTTGTAGCAATCAGAATAAACAGTGAGCACCTTTTTCCATTTTTGGGGATCGTATTGAATCGCAGATGCCACCCGCTTCACGCACTTTATGTCAGATTTATATGACATAGCTGCTGTAGGCTATAGTGGGGTAGCACATATGGGGTACAGCTTTCTAGGGTTTGTACTTGTACCCAACTTTCCCTTAGTCATTCATTCTCGTTTCAGTTTTCTCATGGTATCAAGCAGGTTCCCTCGTGGGAACTGTTCCTAGGGCCCACCGTTTTTTTTTTTCCTGCCCGGAGCGCACTCAGCCCCTGCCCGAGTCGCGCTCCCCTCTCTCTTGGCCCCTAGCGGCCCTGTCCCGCCGCCCTTGCAGCCCCGTCGCGCCGCCTTCGCGACCCCGTCGCGTCGCGCCGCCTTCGCGGCCCCGTCGTGCCGCCTTCGCGGCCTCATCGCGCCGCCCTCGCGGCCCCTTTGCGCCCCCCTTGCGGCCCCTTCACGCCCCCCTCGCGGCCCCTTCGCGCCGCCCTCGCAACCTCTTCGAGCCGCCCTCGCGGCACCGTCGCCCCACCCTCGCGGCCCCGGCGCCGCTCTTACTGGCCCAGGCGCCACCCTACTGGCCCCGTCGCCCTACCCTAGCGACCCCGCGGCCCCACCCTCGCGACGCCGGCCGCCACCCTTCGTGGCCCAGCCGCCGCCCTTCGCGGCCTCGTCGCCGCCCCACCCGGCCCTGCCGCCGTCCCTTCAGCGGCTCTGCCGCCCTTCACGGCCCCGCCGTCACCACCGAGCCGCCGTTGCCGCTGTGCCGCCGAGCCGCCGTTGCCGCTGTACCGCCGAGCCGCCGTTGCCACTGAGCTGCCGAGCCGCCGTTGCCGCCGAGCCGCTGTAGTCGCCGAGCCGCCGTTGCTGCCGTTGCCGCCGAGCCGCCCGAGCCGCTCTGTCCGCTCCGCCCGGTCACTGCCATCACGGCCCTGTTCCTGCCGACGAGCCTCGGCCCTTTTCACCTGCCCGGTAAGAGCAGCGCCTCTACCACTGCACTACCCTTAGTCTACTGATGTCATGGCTACCCCTAGTGTCCTCACTTTTGACGCTGAGGGTCGGGCCATTGACTTTGACGTCTGGGTAGATGATCTGCAGCTTTACCTACAGTGCAATAGGGTAGACGGTCTCTCCCTCTTTGACCTCACTTCTGGTGCCTCTCCTGCCCCTGCTGCTGATGCTGACGCCACTGTTCGCTCACAGTGGGCCACACGCGATGCTGCTGCACGTCTTGCTGTGCGTCGCCACTTGCCTACCTCTGAGCGTGCACACTTTAGCCATTACAAGAGTGCTAGGACCTTGTACGACGCTGTAGTTGCACGCTACTCTTCCCCTGCCACTACTACACTTAGCCGCCTCATCCTGCCGTACCTCTTCCCTGACATCGCCACTTTTCCCACAGTCGCTGACCTCATTACGCACCTTCGCACTAGTGACATTCGTTACCGCGCTGCCCTTTCCGCTGAGTTCTGCACCAAGAACCCCCCCCCTATGTACATCACCCTCTACTACATAGTCACCCGGCTCCCTGACACCCTTCGCCCGGTCAGGGACCACTTTCTCTCTGTTTGCCCCACCAGTCTCACCGTTGACCTCCTCGAGGAGCGCCTCCTAGCAGCAGAGAAGAGCATAGTCGCTGTAGGAGCCTCTCGTGGTGACCCTCGTGCCCTTGTCTTTGAGGGGTGCTCCCCCTCTCCTCTGTTGCCCTCTGTCGCCTCTGCTGCTGCGGCCGACCTCGTTGGTCTTGAGTCGGTCGGTGCGGCGTCTGCCCCTAGCGGGAGACGCCGCACTGGCAAGGGCAAGGGGGGCAGGGGCGCTGGAGAAGCTAGCAGGGGCGGTGGAGGCGGCGGTGGAGACGGCGGAGGGGGTGGGGGTGGCGGTGGGGGTGGTGGCGGGGGAGGGGGCGTCGGTGGCAGCAGTGGAGGCGGAGGCGGCGGTGGCGGTGGGAGCGGAGGTGGCGGAGGTGGCGGCGGTGGGGGAGGCGGCGGTGGAGGAGGTGGAGCTGGTCGGGGTGGCGCTGCGCAGAGGGTCGGCTTCGGTGGTGGTCCGCGCCAGCAGCAGCAGCGCGCTCGTGAGATCCCCCCCCCTCAGCAGCTTCGTGAGTGGTACGCTGTGTCAGAGTATTATAGCTGATGCATGTTTGTAGGCTATAGTGGGGTAGCACATATGGGGTACAGGGTTTCTAGGGTTGTATTTGTACCCAATCTTTCCTTAGTCATTTCAATCCTGTTCACTTATTTCACATGGTATAGAGCGGGTCCTTCCTTAGGACCGTTTTTTTTTAGGGCCCACCGAAGCGCGCCCCGAGGCGCGCCCTTTTTTTTAGCGACCCCTCGGGTCGCCATTTCCCTCGCGGCCCCGCTGTCCCTCAGACGCGGCCCCGCCACCCCTCCTGATCGCGGCCCCGCCGCCTGCTTGACGCGGCCCCGCCGCCTGCTTGACGCGGCCCCGCCGCCGGCTCTGACGCGGCCCTGCCGCCCGCTTCGTCGCGGCCCCGCCGCCTGCTTGACGCGGCCCCGCCGCCTCCACTGACGCGGCCCCGCCGCCGGCTCTGACGCGGCCCTGCCGCCCGCTTCGTCGCGGCCCCGCCGCCTGCTTGACGCGGCCCCGCCGCCTCCACTGACGCGGCCCCACCGCCGGCCCCGCCGCTGCACCTGCCGGCCCGCCGCTCACCTGCCGGCCCGCCGCTGCACCCAGCGGCCCGCCGCTTCACCTGACGGCCCCGCCGCTGCACCTGCCGGCCCGCCGCTGCACCCTACGGCCCGCCGCTGCACCCTACGGCCCGCCGCCTCACCTGGTCGGCCCGCCGCCTCACCTGCCGGCCCGCCGCTGCACCTGCCGGCCCACCGCTGCACCCTACGGCCCGCCGCTGCACCCTACGGCCCGCCGCCTCACCTGGTCGGCCCGCCGCCTCACCTGCCGGCCCGCCGCTGCACCTGCCGGCCCGCCGCTGCACTCTACGGCCCGCCGCTTCACCCTACGGCCCGCCGCCTCACCTGGTCGGCCCGCCGCTGCACCCTACGGCCCCGCCGCTGCACCTGCCGGCCCGCCGCTGCACCGGTCGACCCGCCGCTGCACCTGACGGCCCCGCCCCTGCATCTCCCGGCCGAGCCGCCCCAGCAGCAGAGCCGCCCCAGCAGCCGAACCGCCCGGGAGCCGAGCCGCCCAACGCCGAGCCGCCCGGGACCCGAGCCGCCCTGCCGCCGAGCCGCCCGGGAGCCGAGCCGCCCTGCACCCGAGCCGCCCGGCCGCCGAGCCGCCTGGGAGCCGAGCCGCTGTGCACCCGAGCCGCCCGGTCGCTGAGCCGCCTTTCTGCGGAGCTGCACGACCTGCCCTGCCTGGTGAGCACAGTCCCACTGACACTGCGAGCTCTTTCCCTACTGCTTGCACTGCGTCGCTGTCGTCGCCATGGCTACCCCTAGTGTCCTAGCTTTTGACGCTGAGGGTCGCGCCATTGATTTTGAGGTCTGGTTAGACGACCTGCAGCTGTTCTTACAGTGCGACAGGGCTGACGGCCTTTCTCTCTTTGACCTCACCTCTGGCGCCTCTCCTGCTCCTGCTACTGATGCTGATCCCACTGTCCGCTCTCAGTGGGCCACCCGCGATGCTGCTGCACGTCTTGCTGTGCGTCGCCACCTCCCTACCTCTGAGCGTGCGCACTTTAGTCAGTACAAGAGTGCTCAGACCTTGTACGACGCTGTAGTTGCGCGCTACTCCTCCCCTGCCACTGCTGCACTGAGCTGTCTCATGCTTCCCTACCTCTTTCCTGACCTCTCTGCCTTTCCCACTGTTGCTGACCTCATTACGCACCTCCGCACTAGTGACACTCGCTACCGCGCCGCCCTTCCTGCTGAGTTCTGCGCTAAGAACCCACCCCCCATGTACATCGCTTTCTACTACGTAGTCGCGCGCCTCCCTGACTCCCTTCGCGTCGTCAGGGACCACTTTCTCGCAGTCTGTCCCACCACCCTCACCGTCGACCTCCTCGAGAAGGCCCTCCTCGCAGCGGAGAAGAGCATAGTCGCTGTAGGTGCTTCTCGTGGTGACCCTCGCACCCCCATCTTTGAGGGGTGCTCTCCTTCCCCCTTGCTGCCCTCTGTTGCCTCTGCTGCTGCTGCCGACCTGCTTGGTCTTGAGTCGGTCGGCGCGGCGTCTACCCCTAGTGGGAGACGTCGCTCCAGCAAGGGCAAGGGGGGCAAGGGCGCGGGTGGAGCTGGAGGGGGCGGTGGCGGTGGCGGCAATGGCGGCGGAGGGAGTGGGGGTGGCGGCGGGACTAGTGGCGGGGGTGGTGGTGGTGGTGGCAGCAGCGGCGGAGACGGTGGTGGTGGTGCCAGCGGTGGTGGTGGAGGCAACGGCGGGGGTGGAGGCGGCGGAGGTGGAGGCGGTGGAGGCGGCAGCGGAGGAGGCGGTGGTAGTGGAGGAGGTGGAGCTGGTCGGGGTGGTACCCAGCAGCGTAGCGGCGGTGGTGGTGGCCAGCGCTCGCAGCGGCAGCAGCAGCAGCGCTCGCGGGACATCCCTCCGCCTCAGCAGCTTTGTGAGTGGTACGCTGGGCGTCAGAGGGGTGGGGGTACTGGTCCCTGCACCTACGTTCTTCGTTCCGGCGACCGCGCGGGTGAGCAGTGTGGGGGTGCCCACGCCACCCAGCGCTGCTTTGGCCGCCTGACGGACGCTTGGCGTCGGCAGTTCCCTGGGGCTAGTGAGATCCCTCGCTGGGATGAGCTTCTAAGGGCTGGTGTAGCGATCTTTGATCTTGATTTTGATGCTATCCTTGCTGCTATGTATGCTGTGGATTATAGTGAGGAGAATGAGGGTTACCGGTGTTTCCAGCCCGACCCGGGCATTGGTACTGCTGCGCTAGGTGCTTGTGAGGCTGCTGCTCTAGGTGCCAGTGCGTCTGTACTCTCAGGTACTGGTGAGACTGCGCTCTCAGGTACTGCGTCGTCCTCGTCCTCCCTCACTTTCACACTTGACTCCGGGGCTTCTCGCTCCTTCTTTCGAGACCGCACTACCCTTACGCCGCTCGGCCGGCCGGTTGCGGTCTTTCTTGCTGACCCCTCTGGGGGTCCTGTCCTTTCTCACTTCTCCACTGTCCTCCCGTGTCCGGCTGCCCCTTCGGGCACCCTGTCTGGTCTGTACCTTCCCTCGTTCTCTACGAACTTGGTGAGTGGAGCGGACCTGCAGGATGTGGGGGTTCACCAGTTCACTCCTGCGAGTCAGCGGGTGACCCACTGCACGGAGGCACGCACAGGCCGACACCTGGCCACGTTCTCGCGTCGGCCGGGGTCGAGTCTCTACACCCTGACCGTTGGGTCTCCTCCTGTCCCTGCGTCTGGTCAGGTGGCTGCGTCGGGTCAGGTGCTTGCTGCTGCGTCCCGGTCAGGTCCAGAGTCTGCCCCCTGTTCTTGTCGCCTCCTGTCTCATGAGACTCTCCTGTGGCACCACCGTCTTGGCCACCCCTCCTTGCCCCGTCTTCGGAGCATGGCTTCCCGTGTCCTTGTCTCTGGTCTTCCCCAGTCTCTCCCTCCTCTCCCCTCCGGGCCAGGACCTTCCTGTGTCCCCTGTGTCGAGGGTCGCCTCCGGGCTACTCCTCACTCCTCCCACTTCCCCCCGACAGATGCTCCCCTGCAGACGCTTCACATGGATGTGTGGGGCCCAGCCCCCGTCCGTGGGCAGGGTCACGAGCGCTACTTCCTGTTGGTGGTTGACGACTACTCGCGTTACACCACAGTCCTCCCCTTGCGCAGCAAGGGTGCGGTCACTGAGGTGCTGATCGACTGGATCCGCGAGGCTCGTCTCCAGCTCAGGAAGAGCTTCGGCTCGGACTTTCCTGTTCTGCGTCTGCACTCGGACAGAGGCGGAGAGTTCTCTTCTCGCCTTCTGCGGGACTACTGCCGTGCACGGGGGATTCGCCAGACCTTCACGCTTCCGGACTCACCACAGCAAAATGGGATTTCTGAGCGCCGCATTGGCATGGTCATGGATGTCGCTCGTACGTCCATGATGCATGCGGCTGCCCCCCATTTTCTGTGGCCGTTTGCGGTGAGGTACGCGGCGCATCAGCTCAACCTTCACCCCCGGGTCTCTCGGCCTGCGATGTCCCCAGCCTTGCTGTGGACGGGGAAGGTTGGCGATGCGTCTGTGTTCCGTGTCTGGGGATCTCGGGCGTTTGTCCGCGACTTGTCTGCGGACAAGCTGTCCCCTCGTGCTGCTCCCTGTGTCTTCCTTGGCTTCCCCACTGACGCCCCAGGGTGGCAGTTTTACCACCCCTCCTCTCGTCGTGTTCTGTCCTCCCAGGACGTCACGTTCGACGAGTCAGTCCCCTTCTACCGTCTCTTCCCCTACCGCACTCCTTCCCTCCCCCCTCCCCCGGACTTCCTTGTGCCGGTTCCCCCCCCGGTAGACCCCCTTCCCCCTCAGGTTCCTGCCCCCTCAGGTGTGTCCCAGGTAGACGCCGTTGACCCGGTCGAGGTTACTGGTGACTCTGGTGCTGCTTCGGGTGCTGAGCCTGGGGGTGCTGACTCTGGGGGTGCTGTGCGCGGGGGTGCTGAGCCTGGGGGTGCTACTTCTGGGGGTGCTGGGCCTGAGGGTGCTACTGGGGAGGGTGCGGAGCGTGGGGGTGCTGAGCAGGGGGGTACGGAGCCTGGGGGTGCTGAGCCGGGGGGTACTGTGCCTGGAGGTGCTGGGTCTGGGGGTGCTGGGTCGGGAGCTGCTAAGCCTGGGGGTGCTGAGCTGGGAGCTGCTGAGCCTGGGGGTGCTGCGTCTGGAGCTGCTGAGCCTGGGGTTTCTCCTGCTGCTGCGTCTCGCCGGGAGCCCCTCTCTCCTCAGGAGCTGCGCGAGTGGTTCGCTCGCCGCTGGAGGCGTGCTGCTGAGTCTGGAGGTGCTGCTGGAGCTGGAGCTGGAGCTTCTTCGACCGTCGAGGGTGCGGGTGCTGCCGGTCCCGGAGCTGCTGGACCTACTGGTCCTCCTGGAGCTGGAGCTGCTGAGGGTGTTGGTGCTGAGCCTACTGCTGTTGGTCCTGCCGCTGGAGGTGTGGGTGGCGCTGGTGCTGTCGCTGAGGGTGGTGGTGCTGTCCCTGCTGAGTCTGGAGCTGCCGCGCGGCCTCGGCCGTACTTCGTTCCGCTCCTGCAGCAAGT